CAAGAAATGAAGGGTTGTACTCACGGTCAAAAGAGAATATATATTTACTTATTTATTTTTGCTATTGGGCACTTTCTAAAATTAGTATGTGTTTGCAATATATAAAATAATTCACCATGGGACCTGGAACATATACACATTACATTTTAGTCCTCTTCATTTCTTTCCCCTATCTCCATTCCAGATCCTCTTCCCATGAGAAGGGGTCCAACTTCCTATCTCTCTGTTCCCTATTATCTATTTAAAAAGTATTATTTAAATATATAGTTTCAAGTTTCTTTTCATTATTATGAAAGTCAAAGAAAAATACTCTTGGAGATAACTGTAAACAGGGATTTTACAAAGCAAACATTATTACAAAAGATAAAAGATGTACAATTTTAGCTCCCTTCAGCAATCATTTATTGAATGTGTGCTAACAGCAGGCATTACAGTGACTGTATGAAAGCTGTGCGGTAGGGGCAATCGACCGCCAGATGCCTGAATCTTAACAGCTAGGAATCCAGAGGGAAGGCATCTGCACAGGACTTCACTTCTCCAGGGACAGACCAAAAGCACAATTTCTCTCCTGAAGTCTACCCTATAAACTAAATAAAATATACAACAAACTTTGCTATAAGCTGAATAAAACTGCATTATCTTTCTAATATGGTCACCCTAGAAATTTGTTAAGGACTTCACTTATCATTAAACACTACAGGATTATGGCAGACTGTAGCAAACCTGGAACTAATACAGATATTCCCTGGGGCCTCTTTATTCTTTATAACATATTTTATGACATTTAACATGTTAAAACTTCATTTTAGATTAGAGAAATATTCAGTGAAATAAACATATCTATTGATAATGGTTTATATTCTTTATTTTTTTTAAAAGTTGATTTTTTTGGAACTTATTCATAATAATCTCACTTGAATGTAGGTATTCAAAAATCTTATGTAAAGTCAAAATTCTAGGGGTTTTCTCCAATTCTTTAGGCTTATATAATTTTGGCAATTCTGAGTAATTTCTGTTTCACATCACAACAAAACCTTTAACATATTTCTTCATATAATACTTGAAAGCTTTACTGTAACATGCATGGTAGTTTCATTAACTCCATTTTATAATAAGGACTTTTTAATGTTTTAGGACTTAAGATGCTTTATACTTAAGATGCTTTATATAAAACATTACTGTGTTATTAAATATTGTGAACTACAGTTCATTGTACTCCTAAATATATTACATTTTCCATATACTCATAAAAGAAAATAGAAAATTATTCTCCAGTAGTATTGCATATAAAATGAAGAAAAATCTTAAACAGTGCTAATAATTTAAATTGAATACATCAATTTGGTTTTTCCTTAATGTGAGTTTCTATAGTAAATTTTAAATATTCTTATATTGTATAGCAGATTTATATGAGAGAGAATACAGTTTAGTGTTTGGGGCACAAGTTGCGGATCAATCTGTATGAACTAAAGCTTTAAATATACTATTAGCTGTATATTTTCTGTGTCTTGATATATTTATCTAAAATAGGGATAAGCATTGAGACTTAATTCAGAATATGTTATTTTTGAAAATCCAGTGAGTTAAAGTGATTAAAAGACAGGTAAGTGATGCAAGCTAAAATTCTTATTGTAACCGATGTAGCATTTTTAGATGTTAATGCTAAACTGCTTCCACATATAGGAGTTAAGTTTCTGTTTACTATATATACAAAGATATTACTTCCTGAATCTTGTTATATAGCTCCACTTACTAATTTAATTTCCAATAAGTGGATTACTCTATTATTTTTTCAGTATTAACACTTATCCAAATTACATTGAAAAATGTTAATAACAAAAATTCAAATGAGCAATAATATTTTAGAAGCACATTTTAAATTACTATGCAATCAGAAGTAAATCTATGTATATATTTGGAATGGGGAATTTCCATAGTCTCTTCTTAAAATGAACTCATCTGAGGTTTTGAATGTTACATTTAATTCAAATGGTTGTTTTTTCCTATCCTTTTAAGCATACCAAGATACTATTTAATTGATATTTAGCCTTAAAATCTACTATTTTATTTCAAAATATTCAAACTACATGTTTGAAGATGTCTCTACATAGCCACTAAAAATATAGTCAAATATATTTATACATAAAAACTAACAAGTATATTTTAAAGCACCTACTACTATTAAATGTTGTATCACATAATAATATCACTAAAACTGTTTCCCAAAAAACATTTATTTTAATAACTCAAAACAATAGTGAAATGATGAAATCAAAAACGAGTGTTCTTGTCAGAAGACAGGAAGAGAGTTTTTTCCCCTGCCTTAAGGAAAACAAAGGATTCTTGAAAGCTTTGCCCTGATTTATTTTTCCAATTTTAAATACCTTAAGAGTAGCGGAACTGCTACTGGCATGGTAGTATTTCTAACAGTCAATAAATCTAAAATATTATGTGTGAATATTGGAATGAAGCCATTAAGAAGATTACAGCATACAACACAGCAGAGGGTCCACAGGAAAAAAGAACTAGTAATTCAGGACAACTGTGACCAATGACCTTTAAACAGCCAAGATCACTGGTCAACCTGACACAGTAATGGAGTGCACATGCATAGAAAGTCATCTAGCCTGTAAGCATAATTTAAATGCCTTGGTGGATGATTTTAAAAGGCAAATCTCACTTAGCTTATTAAACAATCAAATAATAGCAGTAGCAATATTTCTCAGGGTTCTAGCATACTTTATTAACTCAAATCACACAGAAAACTTCAGTAAGGTCATTGTGATTTTAATACATCTCATTTAAAATATTTGTCATTTTATAAACATGCTTCATCATATTTCTTCATATTTCTTCCAGAACAGTAAGAGACAGCCTTGGAAAACTGGTGAAAAAACTAAATTTATTGGGGATGGATTGGATAACCACCTAAAATATTCTTAGAATATTTACTATAATTTTTAAAACATACTTTTAACAAATGGTCCTACCTCTATCTGTGAGACAGATTTATTCATTTTGAAATTTGTCAGTGTATCTGTGATCTTCAATTTCAAGCATCTATGTAATCAATCTACACATTCAGTGTTTCTTTTGACCTATTTTTTGAGTATTCGAGCTTTCCGTCCTTATACAGTTGCTGATGAGTAAACTATACGATCTCTTCTGTTGTCATACATTTAAGCTTATGTATTTTGTGAATAGTACATACTCTCCTACATATTTAAATAATTGTCTGAATCACCAACTAGTTCTACAATACTTTTCAATTAAAAAAGAATCACCCATCATAAAATGAATTTTAAAGCTTCTTCTCAAGAAATCTTTTCTTCAAAGTTGACTATAAAACTTTTAACATAATATATAGAAAAGTTGAATTTCTTTCTTTTTATTTGTTATTTCTTTTTAATAATCCTTTCTCACGGGATTAACAATAGGAAACACAAATGCATAGGAAAACATTCTTAAAAGCTGAGATTCTATTTTTGTAATTATTTCTCTATCTAATGTAGAATACTTTGATGGATTTCTAAATGAACAGTCATTTACAGCAGTGTTTGAAGAATTTTATAAGGAGGCAATCTAGCTATAATGAGCTAAAAGAAAGAAATACAGTAATAGTTCCATTTGCCTGAGTTTGGATCTGTTCATACTAAGCATAAATTTCACTACAGCAAGATAAAGCAGTTCAGTTTAATGTACTTCAAGGTCAACAAGTATTTAGGATATTTATGGGTATAAATAACCTTTTACTTTGAAATCAGTGAAATATTTTTATCACTAGCTATCAGATCAAAATTAGTATTACTCTTTTTTTAAATTTTAGATTTTTAAATTCACTTTCTCAAACTCTTTAATGATGAATTTCAGGTACTTGTGATTTACTGAGAAGTATATTTAGAGGGTTTTTTTAAATTCCCCAATTTTAATATCCATTTAAAGAATGAATGTCTATATTTCTAAAAGATATTTTAATTTAGAACTGTTACAAAAATATATTCATATAGTTATTAAATATACTATTTTCAGAAATAAAACTAGTTTGGACTTTTGCCTATATTAACAAAAATTAAGGCAAAAATGTATTTTTGAGACTAACAGTGAAATGTACAATATGTACCACTATAAGCTAGAAACACACATGCACGAGTGCCCATGTGCACACATGTGTAAGCACACACACACACACACACACACACACACACACACACACACTCTTTGCAAGATCAAAGACCAGAAAAGAACTGGCACTTAATTTATCAGCCTTTACAGACAAAAGAGTTTTCGTCATTTCAAAAGGATCAGATGTCTTTTATGACAAACTGGGTTTGCAGTTTAATTTACAAATAGAATTCTAAGTAAGCAGTCTTTGCTCTACCAAAGCAAATGACAAACAGTGTAGGTTTTCATTCTTGCAGCCCTCAGCAGGATAGAAAAGATTAAAATAAAACTGAAATAATTTAGAGAAAACAAATAAATGTTTCAGAAAGTTGAGGGAGATCAAAGCCAGAATTTTCTGACCCCAACTGTACAAGCATTTCTTATTATATTGACCAGTGCCATCAGATCATTAATTAAAAGGAAAAGCGCTGGCAGGTGGCAGGGAAGCAAAAGCCGATAATTGGCCCCCTTCTTCTTCTTGCCTTCAAAAACTCTCTCATTCTTTTGCAAGACATGCCACCAGGCAGACAGAAATGCCTACTTTGTAATATAATGATTAAGAAGAGATAAAGAGACTTATGTTTAAAGAAACTCTGCCTAATGAATGCATCCAGCTTTTTAATTATGATTCTACTTTTACAATAAGGAATACGATGTTCCATTCAACATCTCTTCAACTGCCGAAAGGTAAAAATATTAAAAACAGAACCTATATTGATTCCTCTCACATGCTTTAAACATACATCACCTTTTTATTTCAAATAAAAATGAGAAAAATAACTTAATAACTTGAGAGTCCACGAGAATATATATGCTTGCCAAAAAGCTTTCAGACTTACCACATCAACTGGTAGGTTGCTCAAGTCATTAAATGGTGATTCTAAAGTGTTAGTATCAACATTTAACATAACCACATCTTCCAGTGATTTATTTTTCACTCTCTGTTTAAAAAACACAATCATAAAAAGTTTTTTGTTATTCATAAATTTATTTTCCTCAGAAAACTAAGAGCTTGCAAACAAAAATCATGTTAATTAACAAAAGTTTGCAAAACTAAAAACAGGAAAATCTGACATCATAAAAATCTAAATACTTCTACCACGAGTACAGTCCATTCAAAATATTTGGCCAAATTGTTAAAAATAGAATATTTATTAATTTAATACTGAATTAACTACCAAAGATAAAGCACAAACAACACATAATAAAATGGATATTATTACACTGAACTGTAAAAAACTGAGGCTTTTAAAATTTATCAGTTCAATACCAATCCTACGATACAGGCATTTTTTTGTTTTCATTTTATGCTTTTGAGACAAAGTTTCACTATGTAGTCCTAGGATGGCCTCAAACTCACAGCAATTCTCCTGCTTCAGCCTCCTGAGCATCCCTTTCAAGCATGCATCACCAAGTCTGGCTGTGACATAGGAATGTGTGCCCAGCTCTATATCTATTATTAGCATAAATCATAGTGCAGGGACAACATAATTCAATAATCATAATTAAAATATTAAACTATATTTTAAATGAATAGGTGAGGAGGAATATGAAAAGTGGAATTAAAGGAAAGAACAGAGAGGGATTTACTACTAGTAATATTCACCCATAAATTTCAATGTAAGTAATTAAATTTTATAGTCTATCAGATTGACTATCTTCATCTTATTTGAAAACAGTCAAAATAGTCAAAGTATCTCACTATATCCATAAATTAGAATTTTATCAAATTTTTCATTTTTAAATAAAGGAAACATTTATGGCTCATTTTTCCTATTTAAATTAGCAAATAGTTAAATAACTGAATTAATTTAATCTCATTTAAATTTAGTAAACAGTATTATTTTTCAGTGACAAACAGTGTACTAATTAATGAATTATTATCCATGAATTTAGAAATTCATAATTGTACAGGTCAAAAAATAATATGTCAGGGGCTGGGGATTTAGCTCAGCGGCATAAACACCTGCCTTGCAGGCAGGCAGTCATGAGTTCGATACCTGGTACCGATAAAAAGGAAAAAGACAAAAAAAAAAAAATGTCAATAACTAATTTCAGTGTAATATTTTAAAAAGTGTCACTGTAGAACAGTTATTCTTAACATTACATGCTTCAAAATTTAAAGTGACTCATCTAATTATTTTGTATTAATTGAAATTTCTCTAATCCATTTAAAATTTCAATTTTCTGCATATTTGGTAGTGTTAAAGTTTTTAGGAAAATGACAATCTAAGGAAGGAAATTTCTATGCCTTAAGAAATAATTATGTATCAAGAGGCTAGTCAAGAAAACACATGTTTCTAAAAATCTGAATAGGGCTGAGGATTTAGATCAGCAGGCATAAGCACCTGCCTGACAAGCGCATGGTTGTAAGTGCAAACTCCAGTACCTAAATAAATAAATAAATAAATATAAAAATCTGAATTATATAAGCCATTGTAATTATTGTAAAGTAAGATTTAAAAGATGGCCAGTTCTAAGACATTAGAAGAAAATTGTTGCTTGTGATATTATTAATACTACTGCAAAAATACATAAATATATTCATTTATTTTCCATCTATATACATATGTAAAAAGGTTTAAATGCATATTTTCAAACTTATGTATAAACTCACTATAGAATAACTATAATAATATGCAAAAATATACCTACATAATGGCATTTCATGGGAAAAAGGACATAATTATAGTTTCCATCTTCATATTCAAATTGTTTTTATATCAGAAACCATAAAGATAATGTAGAAACCTGATATGCTTTTAAGGAAACAGGAATTTGTCTAAATAACCAAGAATGACAGTTATGTGTCTGCAAGGATTTTAGTGATGATACTAGTATTAAAAGCTAAAACAAATTGGTATTAATATGAAATGTATTTGTCTCAAAATTGCTTCTAGCTTTACAAGGTCAGGTAATAGCCAAATATTAAATTTTTTCTATTAGCCATTCAATAAGAATAGAAAAACACTCATTTCTAATCAATTGACTGGGAGCCCCCAAATGTTAGAACGATATAAGTGAAAAAAAGTTTATAATTTAAATAATTAATATCCAGGGCCAAGGGTTTAGCTCAGCAGCGTTAAGTGCCTGCCTGGCAAGTGCAAGACCATGAGTTTGATTCCCAGTACCAATAATAATAATATCAGTATTTTATCTATTTTTCTTTCAAAATTAAGTTTTAGCTATTTTTTCTAAATAGAAACGGAAAGTCATAAATGGCACTCCTTTCTCTGTCTCAGAATTCTGTCTTTGTTTTATATTTTGTTATAAGATATAAAAGTAAATGAGAGAATGTGAAAAAATTGTCTTTCTCTTCAAAAATAAGAAAACACCACTGCACATAGACAAAAAGGCTTACAATGAATAACTCAGAGGTTAGAGTCAGTAACTCCTTTCTCTCTACATTCATACATAGTGTGGGACAATGTTCATTAAGCTCACTGGTGTGAAAAATGATGCAGTGGCAGCAACCATAACATAACATAACACAAACTTAAGAAAATAAGCCAACATTCATTTGGAATCCTTTGTGTACTGAAACAAACAGCACAAACCTCATATTTGTAGCTTTTACTAATTTATTCTTAATCATCTACATGCCTTAGTCTTCTTGAGTTCATTTCTAGAATTTTCAGGGTAATCAAAATGTCTTATTTCTTTGGTTTGAAAGCAAATTTATATTTTAAAATGAGATCTCTCTCCATCCATTATTCACAATTCAATAAAAATAAGTGAAAGGGAGATTTCAAAAGAAGACTGGAGCAGCAATACTTAGAAGTTTTTATAAAACTAATAATGGGAGATGCCAGCGGGAGGAGAGGAAACAGGAAGTAAAAAGGATAAAAATGCAATATGTATATTTTACTAATTCCTCATGATGAATATATTCATTATGTATCAAAAACATATACTCATAAAGTCCTTCAATGAAAATAAAAAGTAATTTTTTAAAAACTGACGTGTTAAAATTCTATTAACCATGAGAGAAGAAAGTATTCTGATTCCCAGAAAAAAGAATTATCTGTTAACTCCAACCAAGGTAAAAATTTCTGGGCTCTATTTGATATATTAACTATTTAAGTTGTTACACCCATCTTTTAATATTTATTATTAAATTAAAAAGCACAAAAGAAGAAATTTAAGTTAAAAATCTGTGTAATAAGAACAAAACTAAGATAGGGCTGGGTAAGACACAGCACAGTGGCACAAATGCCTACACCTAGGCAAGCACAAGGTTCTGAGTTTGATTCCCAGTATCAAAAAAAGAAAAAAAAACTGTAAGATACTTATCTTGTATCAGATTAAGAAAAAAGTTACTAAATGATACCTAGTTAGTTTAAAGAAATCTCTAAAGTTCAAGAATAGCATCTCATTCACTATTAAACCAGATAAATCAGTAAATATGACTATTAAGGTACTTGGATAAATCCAGGTTACAATAAGTATAGAGTTTCAGCCAAGCTAATGTGTCTCCAAATGTTCATATTTAATAACAGGAGCCAATTTAAAGTTTCTCTAAGCTAATACTTTCAAAAAGTAAATAATTCCTAAATGTGTTCCTTAAAAAAGTAGTACTGGGTTTCTTTATGTGGCCAATAAATGTGATAAATGTAATCAAATTAAATATTAATTAAAATATTCTATTCCTTTCTATAGAAGTTTGGAAATTAAATCAAATATTAATTAAAATATTCTATCCCTTTTACAGAAGTTTGGAAAAGCCAAATTATTTCTTTTAAAAGTCAGTATAAAATTGTTATACATACCATAACACTGAGGTACTATCAAAAGTTTTAAATTATTTTTTGCTTTTATAAATGCACTATAAAAATATGTATCTCACTAGATAAATTAAACATAGCTAAGTACTACAGTAATATAAAAGTCAAACTCAATAACTTTTTAAAAAATTTCAAGCATAGTTAAATTTGAATAAAGTCCAATAACTAATCGATAAAATGACAGTGATAATATATATTTTATGATGTAATAGACCAAATATCTATTCATTAGTGTTTCATTTCAAACTCTGCACTTTCACTATGTCTTCGCTTGTAAAAAAGTTTCCTAAAAAACAAATAAAATATAGTCTTAAAGTTATTCAATGTAGACTTCAATGTTGAAAACAAATCACTTAAAAATCATTAAAAAGATATTTTACATCAATGATGAAACAAAAATGTTGCCCTAGCATTTTGCAAAAAATAAAAAATAAAAATAAAACTGCTGCAGCACAGGTAAGAAAGAATTCTATAACCTGAGTCTTCCATAAGGACATGACTCTAAATATTACCCTAAGAGGTTTTAAGATGTATCTATAGACTCTTCTTCAAGAAAGTAAGTATCAGTGGTGTATACAGTGTCAGCAACTAATAAGAAAAACACTCTAATTAATAAATTGTTTATTAAAAATTAGGTTATTTATCTGCACAATTAACAAAAAGAGAAATGCATTTGTGTAAAATGAAATCAGTCAGCGTAATGACACCATTCAATTGATTCAAATCTTTTGTTTTAATGTAAGTCTTCTGTTTACTTTTTAGAAGTTAATCTTACAAGGTATCCCTCTCTAGAAAGCTCACCATTTAAAGTTCAAGGATTTTCAGTAACATGAAACTCTGATAAACATTATTTAGAATTATATTATAACAATGGAAAAATGACTTTTACATATTCCACTAGAACTGAAAATTAAAACAAAAAAGAAGTTATACTTTAATTAAAAGGTATGGCAAAACCATGCTTTTAAAATGTGTATTGAGGGCTAGGGATTTAGCTCAGCAGCAAAAGCGCCTGCCTTGTAAGCAGGCAGTCGTGAGTTCAACCCCAGGTACTGATAAAAAGGAAAAAGACAAAAAAAAAAAAAAAAAAAATGCATATTGGGTTGGAAAATAGTAAAGTTTACAAAATAAAAATGTGTGATTTTGTGAGTCGTAAGTATGTAAACTTTGACTTTCACAATATAGTCCTAAAAAAGAGAAATAAAAAATCTCAAGTTGCCATAAAAAAGTAGCTCATCAAGAATTAAAATTTTTAGGACTTCATATTTATCATATGATCTCTACCAACATAACTCATTTTCATGGGCCTCATGCTATTAAACATGATCATTTGTATACTAATTTAAATGAAATTATTTCAAATTTACCTTTTGAAAGTGACTATTTAAGTATATCTTAAATATGAAATTTGTCACTACTTAATTTTATCGATGAGTTAATGCCATCATTATTTCACATCTGAAAGATACTCACCTCTAAGAGGCTGGAGTGTATTCCAATCAGGTATGGCATTGGGGCACTAAATTGAAATATAAATAAATATTTATACATTCATGCAGTTCATTAAAAGTGATCTTAATACTTAAAAATTAAATTTATTTAAAGCTTAGTTCCAGCATACCATAAAACAGATATTCAAAATCTTAGATAATCAAATAGATACTCAAATTTAATCTTAGAGGCCATTATCATACTTAAAGTTGTTTTATATTTTTAAAATCACAAATAATTTATAATGAAATCAGGAGTTTTAATGAATAAAAAAGTTTTATCTAAGAAAAGTAGCAGGGTCAAGGCCATAATCTGAGTCAAATCTTTTCCATATACTTTGTAGCAATATATCCTACATAATCATCAAATTTATTGGGCAATTATCTTGTACACCTTTTCTTATTCAATTAAACTCTTATTTTAAAGATTTTCTTAATATTACTTCATTATTTTATACCTACTATATTACAATATATTCATTAAGCTAGTCACCAAATAGCCATTGTACGCAAGGCACTGTTATGGAGCTAGAGGTATAAAAACACAAAAGTTGCTACCTTTCCCCTTTCATACATAAATCATCATTTATTTAAATTTTATAAATTGAGATTTATTCTATTTTCATCGGTATTAATAAAAAATAAATTTAAAATATTTGTTTAAGAATTATTTGAATATAAAACCTGATGTTTATAAAGAACATATGCATGCCAAGCACTGGGTCATAGGTCTGGGAAAAATAATTACCAATATAGATGGGATGTAACTTTTTATGGGTCTTATACTCTAGTACATAATGTGTACATTAAGGAATTTATATTAAATCTGAATTACTAGCAATTATAGCAGTATCTGCTATGAAATTATTCAATGTGGTATTTCAAACTAAATATTATCTACTAAGATAATAGAACAGACAGATGCCTACAAAAGTGACAGATGATATGTAAACAAATACTATTTAAAATTAAACATTTTTGTCAATTCTTTTATAAACATCTTTGCTTATTAATGTAAACCTTTTTTAATACAGATAATCTTTTTTCTCAAAAGATTTGCATAATTTTCTAAACATCATTGTCATCATTAAAACAAATCTGCCAAACTCGTGTATGTTCCCTTTGCTATTGAGAACCACTAACAGATTAAAATAACAAGCACCTTGAAAAATCTACAGATAACAAGTAGCCTCAAAAAGTTTCAATTTATTCAAGGATGGGTAAACAGTAACCTATATATCCAGAATAAAGATGTTCATTAGTCTTTATCTTTTAGTTTATTACTTGTTATTGTACTACATTTTAATCCCTAATTGTCTCTACCTTTGGTAATTCTGTTATTTTTACACAACGAACTATCTGTAATTGATCTAATATTATGGATACTTCATTTGACTAAAAGTTGAGGTTTATTTATAGGCTTTGAGATCCTTAAGACCTAACAGGAAGAACAAATGTGGGCTGTTCCACTTTTGCTTAAGTAAGGAAAGGTTGGTTACTTTCCTAGTTCAAAGTCTCATTCTGGGATTCCTTCTGGGACTCCGAGAAGACAAAAAAGCATATCAGTATTCTGCTCTCCCACTGCCAGGTTTGGGCAACTTTCACAAAACAAATTAGGCAACCCCCGGGGTCTTTAATATGTCAAGCCCTTCAACATCCAAAATAGTATAAAATTATTCAAGTTATTGTGGGAACTTACTCCTGCTTAGGATATTATACCCACAAGATTTATAACACGGAGTTCATTGCATCTTAAATTCCAAAACACTCATAAAAGAGTATTAATCAAAATATATCACACTTCTAAAAATAATAATTTTAATTCTATTTTAATGACGTTAGAGGGATGCTGCTGTTTGAAATTTCAAAAAATGATAGCTAAAACTGCTAAATCCTAGGAACTATACCAACAGAAATACCTTTAAAAGTTTATGAGAGCTGCTTATCTTTTAAAATGTAAACAGTGAGCTTATAGAAATACTTAAGCTAGAATTTGATATTCAAGATAAAGCTCCTATGAAGACTTTAATAATAAAGTAACTTTTTAAAAATGGAATTAATGGGTATCTCCAAGTAGTTTTTTCTCAAGATTTCTCACAAAATCCAACATATAAGTGTTTTAATTACAAATATTATTAATCTATAGCATAATTTTATAAAATAATTATGGTATTTTACAGAATATAGAGTTAATTGTATAATGTCTCTCACTTTTTCACACTAGGTTGCATATATACTATCATAAAATACCATGAAAATTAATTCTGCAATCCCATCTGAAATTCCCTAATTAGATTATGATGTAAATAAATCAAGAAAAGACTCCTGACAACCTGGACATTTTATCACCCATGTACAAAACTGGCATAGATCTTTCTATCAGTAGTTATTTTCTAAAGATGGGATACAGAAGGCTCTGTATGACTGCTTTTTCTTTTTGGTAGCAATTAATCTTTGCTCAAGAAAGTTTTTTTTTTAACCTTTCTTATGAAGAGACCTGTGACAGAGACTAAGGACAATGTATTAGAGTAGTCTGAGATCATAATTTTCCATTATTTTTTTAAAACTTGTTCTTGCAACCTAAATCTCATTGTGTCATACGAAGACAAGCTGATATATATGGTAAATAAAAAGCCTGGCATAGGCATTTCCTGAACAAATAACAATCTATTATAATTTTACTGATCTTGCCATCATACCACCTCTTATGTGTTTCTTGATTCAGACGGTTTAAAAGTGCCAGGCAACATCATAGACTTGCCAAATTAAATTACTCCTATTGTAGTTCATTCAGGGAAAAATGTAGTTGATGCTAATTCTTCCCAAGAGCTTTTCCTAACCTGCCACAGACTGTGGGGCACTTCTTACTATCTTTCCATCCATGGTACTTTCATTTGTGCTATAGTACTTATGGCACTATAGTATTACTCTGTGCTGCTGTGCATGTGTAGCTACATATAAGCACATGTACGTACGCATGTATGTATGCATGTGTTTCTTGCTATCTGTGAATCTCTCAGGGGCAAGAAGTCTTAATCATTGTATCTCATCTTCAAGCAAATAGGCGTTTACTAAATGTTGTTGATGAATGAGTGCATGGATGGATGGATAGATGGATGGATGGAAGGAGGGATGGAGCAACAAAGTAGGAACACTTATTCATAGACCACGATGCGATGTTCATTCATGGTCACAAGATGGCATTATGGCTCTCCACAGTTTACATCATGACAAGGTTCCCAGACAAAAAAACAGAAAGACTCTGTCAAACTAGGATTCTCTCAAGATTTGAGAGAATCTGGAAAGTCCCAATCATTCCAAGAAATTAATAAAGATACATATATTCCTTACAAGCCTTTGTAGTGGTATCTTGAATTAGAAGGTAAAAATTTATTTATTCAAAGCCCACGAGATTAAGGAGAAAATCTCAGTAATTTTTCTCTCTTTAAAACAGAAAGAACTACGTCCATATCATTCTAACCTCAAAGACATGATGGAAGAGAATCATTTTTCACAGAAAACTATTTCGCTCATCAGATTTTCTAACAATAATAGATGACTACAGTCTTTACTACTTACAAAAAATTAGCTATAATGCCCAGTTCCTATGGCCAAAACAGAGTTTATCATTGTAACTTTCAGAATTTCTTGTTTGGGCATCACTGCTATACTCTCTAGCCCAGAGAGATGATGCCTCACATGAAAATGTTACAATGTGTCATAAACACTACTTCAGACAACAGCCACAGAGAAGACAATTCCAGCTAAAATACAGAAGAAGCTTCTTTCATTATATTATAAATAGTAGAAAAGAAAGATCTGATGACAGGACTAAAAAATATCAGAAAGAGACTTCTCTAAAGAACTAGTATAGAACTGCTTGGATCATTGAATAATTTCTAAGTAACTTTTGAGAATGTCCTAACTATGTAATTCATTACAGAGAAAGGAGTTGAAAGGCGTTTTACCTAAGAGAGAAGAACATTTTATAGAAAAATTAAGATGGAACTATCATTATATGATAAAATATAATTCTAAATCTCATAATTAGACATTTTAGCTCTTAAAACAGAAACTTGATGTGTATTTTAAACTGTATACAATATACAATATATTTTCAAATATTTCTGTAAAATTTTTTAAAATAAGTAGCATTAAACACTACATGTAAAGATCTATTGCATGTGTCGACACGAATAAATTGCAGCCTCTAATTTATGGCAGAGTAAAATACTGTAGATATGTTGTCAAAGGAAAACTATAGTAAAAACTAAAAATTAGATCTACTTATAGATCTAATTTTACATTTAACGTTGTGTGTGACACCTCACAATGTAATTAAATCACATTTCTATGGTCTAAGAAACTGTTTTTCTTTCTAGCTTCCCAAGGCCATAAAGCAGTGGCAGGTCATTGCACACCTATTTCACAGAATTATCAATCCTGTGGAAACACACAATTTAGCAGTATAATAATCTGTGGCCAAGTACATGTCCTGTCATTATAGTCACTTGTTATAACTTAATAAAAGCCTATATATGTACACTTAAACCATTTTAATACTTAAATACTTCGATCTGTTTTACATGAGTAAATTAACTCTAACAGAGCTTTGGTTTTGACTAAAATTAGCCATTATAGAACCAAATACATTTGGGCCAAAATGATGTACTTCATATAAAGTTTAGAGGGTAAAAAATCCACCAAATTCAATACAGATTAAGCTAGACTTCAGATGATGACTGCAATGAAGACAACATTATACCCATAAATTCTAATGACGTTCCCAAAGCTGCAATATGTTAAGAGTCCAAGTACAAAGACTTCCATGGGAAGAGAACAAGGCGGTCACTGGCTATTGTCATGATGTCCTGAGGCCTGACTGAATTCAGATTCCTGAGACTGGGAGTTGTTTCTAATGCTAGCAACCTCTTCAGCATTACTTCCAAAACTTTCAACACTGCTTTTCATAATGACTTTAGGCTGAAATTTTTACTTAAATCAGAAACTTAAGAATTCCTGTATTAGAAGCAATCCCATTGTCAGTACTTGGTATTCGATGTGCTGTAGAAGAAAAAGTCAAGGAACATGAGTTTTAAGGTAAATACAAGTAACAAAAGAGTACCTAAACAGACACAATGTGGTTACTGGCAGATATGCCCCACAAATTCTGACAGCTGGGATTTTGGATTCTCTTACAGATACCACAACTTCTATTCAATTTTATTAACCAAAAACTAAAGTTTTATTTTTCCATCTATGCATTTAGTTATCTAAATGCAGATAAAACACAAAATTTAATGAATTTTGTTTATGAAGTATAAATTTTTGCTACTTATGGAAAGAAATACTCTGACATGCAAGAAAGCATTCAATGTTTAATAATAATCTAAAAGTGAAATTTTTGTGATTTCTTCCATATCTACAAATAAAAAGATTTTTTTCCTAATTATGAAGCCCAGGTTTATGACAAAAGTCTGGTAAAGCCAGCTTACCAGCAATAGTCCAGCAGGTGAGGAGGAAGCACTGGGATGTATATGTGCTGCCAGTACATTGGATAGAGCAGAGCAGCTGATCCATGGAGACAGGCAGTTAACTAGAATTTGTAAAAGGACAACAATAATAAGTAGCTGCTGACCCTCCAAACAAAAAGGCATGTTCAAGGTAGCAAAGATGAATGATAATCACAGAACAATTTACACAATGACAAAGCTCACACTGTCTTTACCAATTCTACTTATAAAAGTCTTGTCTCAGAGATCCCTCTGAAAATACATAAACAGCAAAAGTAGCTTCTTGGGAATCATATGTAGATAGTTATAACCACCTAACAATATAGTTTGGAGTTGAAATTCAGAACATAAATAAAACTGAAAAATTAGGTGAGCATCTTAAAAAATATTGTAGGAAATTACAATTTGTACAGTACAGTTTGCGCATCACTCAGATTAATATAACACGATTAAATATGGAAAAAAGAGTAGCTGAAAGCTCCTGAGGGATATCATTAGGGCAAATTGCCAAAGAATGAAACATGAGCCAGTCAGGAGAGTCTGGAAACTGCAATAGTACCAGGGGACTTGAATATTCGACAGTTGGAGCTTCAGTAATGTGTGAACTGCGGGTTATGGTATCAAGAGACTCTGTTCACTGACACATAGAATGTCACTATTGACCAGCGAACTGCCCAAGCTTGACAGCTGTACTACAGGAAGCCAAGTATATCATAATTTCATATTTAAACTGTTCATTCCAAATTAACATTTTGTTTCCTAGCTTTATATCACAACAGCTGCAATTACATTGTTGCTATTTTAAAGGTAATTGCCATCTTAATTGTTTTGTTTTGGCAAGCAGTTAATTAAACATTTTTAATGCTGAACAAAGGAATATCACTCTTTTCCCCTCCTACTGACCCTCATCAGAATTCTTTTCATGTGACTTTCCTTCCATTTTAAATTACATTTCTACACATGGAAAGTAATTTTTAGTGTTTAAAGTAATAATTATATCAACATCATTTTCATCATTTTAAGTTTTTCTCTTGCCTATATTTCATGGATACAATTTAAATAATTGTATTCAACTGGAAACATGAGAATTTTTAAAAACTACCTGAAAAGGAACTATTGACTTTCTAAAAACCATTACTACTGTGATTATACAAAGATACTGAAACAACAATTAATTTAATTCTAAGGAAAAAATGTACACAAAATGATCCAGATTTTATTAACAGCAACACTTGTCATGTTTAAGTGCAAAACAGGCCCATTAAATGACACAAAAAAATCTGATCTGAAACAAAAATATATTTTTGTAAATATACTCATCTTTATAGTATAATACACCTTCTAGTTTTTCCAGAGAGATTTTTACCCAATTTTATGTGGAAAAAGTTTATCTTGATTCTATATGCAATACTATCATTAACAGGTTTTATTTCGTTACATTTTTAAGCTTTATTAATTAATCAAGGTAGTCTTTCAACAAATAGTATTTTGAAATTCCTTAGAGTATATAACATGCCACTAGGAGGCATTCAAATACTTCTATTTAATTACAGACCATGGATTTACCTACATTAATAAGTTGAATCAGAGAGAAATGAAACTAGAGTTGATCTAACTCATTGTGTCAAATTCTCCAAGAGCTTTCAGATACTACTTGGTTGTATACCAGATATCTTTAAAACTGTATTAACCCTTTCCATCCCTGAACTGTAACCTGATGGGCTAAGAAACCTTATGTAGCTTTCGAAAGCAGTTGATTAGTAAATTTCTCCAACTCTACACATATAACTTTTAAAATATCTTGTTTTAAGCCTGTTTTTTTTAAAGGGGGGTGTTTCATATTAGTGGAAAAATAGTAGTAGTAAATCAAAAGGAAAAATACAGACTGGGGATTTATCTCAGCAGTATAAGCACCAGCCTGGCAAGTGTGAGGTCATGAGTTCAATCCCCAGTATCAAAAAAAAAAAAAAAAAAAAAAGGAAAAATATATTCTAAAAATGAGATGTTAGAAAGAGAGTGACTTATTTCCCAGAGCACAGTTAAATCACGAAGCACCCTACCATGTAGATACTGTTCCTACTCACTTAATGGTCTTCCTTAAATGAACTCACTATTTGCTAAAAAGACACAATATTAAATGATAAATTTAATTGAGTTCTTAGAAGATGATTTCTGTATAAACTGAGTTATAAAATTTCTGCATCAGGCATTATCTGGCAGGGGTTATCCCAGCTAATCAAAGTTGATAGGAAGAGAACTAATAATAATACATGGAAACTATGTGAAGATTCAACAACTGGGTCCTGTGATATCTCAAAATGGAGAAAATTAACAACTGACATCAGCAGTTGTGAGCTTAGTCACATAATAAAGGCACTTGGACCTTTCAACCTCAAGTAACCAGATCTAACAAAAAACACTACTGATAATAACTGAATATTAGTAATAGCAGAAAACATTTATATAATGCCTACCATGTGTCAGTCACTAATATGAGGATTTCAGGTTCCAAGATTAATCCTCACAAAATGTTATAAAGTAGATCCTATCATCATTATTCCCTTTTTACACTCAAAACACAGAAGCAAAGTTAAACCAACTGACCACAACCATCCATCTTGTAAGCAGAAAAGTCGGAATACAAATTAGGAGAGACTAGATACAAAGTATAACCACTACTTTAAATATTCAATATATAAAGATTTATCATCATCATGAGACTGAAAAATATATTCTTACTTAAATATATAAAAATTACCAAATGCATAAAAATGCATCTTTAATTAAGCAGTTGACTAGCATAATGGAAAACAGAAAATTTCTAATTGGCACAATTTACAGGTAAAGCTCTCATACTAAGACATTGCTACTACAAGTATTCTAGTTTCTGTATAACCTAGCCATACTGCCCCTTCTTATTATATAGAAACCCTATTTACTTTCATCCAGAACTCTATGCGTCACTGAGGGACACCTTCATACTGCTAAGAATGTATTTATTCATCAAATCATAATATATATATATTTGATAAAAATACGGTGAATGTCTATTAAAAATTATTACAGTAAAAGACACTGACATAAAACCCGCTCAAAATAATTCCAAAGATTTAACTTTCATGGTCATTTTGATCTTGAGGAAGAATCAGAAGTCACATGGTGCCATATCAAGTGAATAAGGAGATGAGGACACGGTTAGTTTTTATTTGACAGCAACTACACTAATTGTTTTGAATTTATTCAGAGAATTTATTAATGGAAGCAGCTACAAGAGCACAACTGAAGATTCATAAAAAAGGATTTCCAGAATTGCTTCAGAAGATGGCAAGAAAGATGGGAAAAAATGTGTTTGAAGCAAGAGGGAATATTTGCAGTGGGATTAATAGCAATGTGTCTCTATTGTAATTTTTTAGAATTTAAATATTTGCTGTAATTTTGATCAGTCTATGGATCTGTGTATACCCATAATCTAATGTGTACACTATAGTAAACTTCTCTATATAATACATATTAGAGACATTATTTGACCTTGAACTGAATCAACAATTGAGAAATATAAGCACCATAAACTAAACAAATATACAGATTAAACTACTACAGATAGAAATGCAACACATTCCTCATGGAATTAAAAGACAGAGGAAACTATAAAGAAAACACATGTTTAAACACATTTAATTTGTATTCACATTTTAAATTTAGACCAAAATAGTGGCAACCATATATTTGAGAATTATTAAGTGATGGTTATTAAGAAAATTCTTGGAGACAGACATTTTACATAATAAAAAAGAATTTGGTTGTGAATTTTTAATGAAATTTATTTTTGAGCAGTTATAGGTTCACAGCAAAACTAAACAAAAATTTCGAAGGTTTTCCATATACCTGCAACTGTCACATTTGCCTGGTTTTCTCCATCATCAATATCCCTCACCTCACCAGAGTGGCACATTGTTATAACTGATGAGTCTGTACTGACTTATTAACATTCGAGTCCACAGTTTACAGGAGCGTTCTCCCTTGGGGATGAACATCCTATAGATCTGGATAAATTCATAATATGCATCCACCATAAAAATCTTTCATAAGTATGATGTAACAAAATATTTCTAAGAGCTATCTGAAGAAAAGTACAAAATCCTTAGGAAAGAGATCAAAGAACTAAATAAATGGAGAGATATTTCACATTCATAGGTAGAAAAACAATACTGCAAGTTGTCAGTTCTTCCTGGCTTGTTCTATATTCAATGCCATCCCAGTCAAAATTTCAGCAAGTTGTTTAGGAGCTATCAACAAGATGATTCTAACATTTACATGGAGAAGAAAGGACCTAGAATTGTCAACACAATTTTGAAGGAAAAGAATAAAATCAGAAGACAGACATCAGTCAACTTGAAACTAGCTGTAAAGTTAGAGAAATTAAGATAGAGTATAAATGGCTAACAAATATATGAAAAAACTGTTCAACATCTCTGGCCATTAGAGAAATTAAAACTGCACTGAGATTTCATCTTACTGCAGAAAAAATGGCTATCATTAATAAAAAACAAGTGTGTAGGACTGATAACCGTATTACTACATTTTGTTGGATCATTGAACAGAACTGTTGGCAGTGTCACTATTTGAATGTCACTTTGTTTTATTTATTTATTTATTTATTTATTTATTTATTTAGTCTTTTTCCTTTTTATAGGTCTGGGGATCGAACTCACGACTGCCTGCTTCCAAGGCAGGCGCTTATGCCACTGAGCTAAACCTCCAGCCCCTTGAATGTCACTTTGTATGCTTTAATTTTGTAACCTGAACAACTATTTCTAAGATGAGAATATGTAACTTATCATCTAGTGATTTCTTATTATTTTTCTGTAATTCTGTATTATTTCTACCCTTTTTTTTCTTGTTTTTTTTCTCTTTAAATAAAAAAAAAGAAATCAAAGAAATGCTGATGAGGCTAAAAGGAAAAACAAACCCTTCTATAGTGTTGGTGGAAATGTGAAGTAGTGCAATCATTACGGGAATCAGTATGGAGATCCTGAACGAGCTAAAACTAGAAATTTCATTTGACTCAGCTATGCTCTTTTTA